CTGTTAAGGCAAGTTCTCTATAGAGGGGGGAAACAAAAGTCTCGATTTTTCCTGAGTGATTCATTCAAGGTCACAGGGAGCTAGAAATAAGAATTGCTCTAAATTCAGTTTTTTATTATTACAGCATTCCACTCCGACTAGATAAATCTTGCATTAAGCGTAGATACAGAAGGGTTTAGTGCAATGTGGAATTGAGGGAAACGAGCTCTAATATTGCATTCTTAAGATATAGGACCTCCTGGTCTTACACAAGCGATTGCTAAGGACGTCATGTCAACTCGAAAATAATGGAGTCAGTGGCTTCTAAAAACTCTTTAGTAATTAAATGAAAAGTCAAAGCATGAAAAAGTCTTTTTCAAGAAGGAGCAAAAATAATAAACAAGCAAAGACACAAATAAATATAGCTAGATATAAAACCTATTTAAATACAAATCCTTCAAAAATAATCATCAGAGTATTTTGTTCCAAATAAATTCCTCCCACTCTTTTCTTGCTCAACATTTTTCTCCTTAGATCGGCCCTAAAGATCTGCAGAGTTAAACTCACTTTTCCTCTGAACTAATATTAGAAATTAAAAATTGTTTAAAAACACCACACTTCACTTGTGTCTCCATCCTTGCTCAATCATATTGACATGAAAGATGTACAGCACATAGGTGTCCTCCAGCTGCCAACTTTTTCTGTGATCTCAGCCTCTTTGTAGTGGGCCTATCACATCACAAATATTTATAGGCTTAGAGCCATCATCACATCTTTCCTGGTGCTTAGCTTCTTAACCCCTAGGGAAATCTGGCCATGGGCACCTGAGCCTTTGGCAGTGGTCAGAACCCCTTCCCCAGGTGTCCATGGGGCCTTTCCGATTCTAGTTAATTCTTTTGGAAAAGCACAGAGTTTCCTTTTCCCTGGGAAAGAGGAGTGAGTGTTCAGCTTGACTGCTGCCTGTTTAGAATCAGATTAGCTCTGAGAAGCCCAAGAGGAAGAGACTGAGAAGGGGGCAAACTCTGAAGGGACCTTTGGAGGCATAGAGTATGGGAATACTTCCGTTTTATCATTTGGACATCACACATCATTCACCAGGAGAGCCCATGCCCAGCTCTACAAGGACTGACCCCAGCCCTGCGTGCCTTGGGTGGGCTCCACTCCTACTCCCTGGCCCCTGACCAGTGAGCCTGCAGACACATCACTCTTGTCCACCTTCCTCTCCTGAGCTCCTAGTGGAGCTCTTATATAAACAGACCCTGCTGAGAGGAGAATGGGCAGTGATCTAAAAACCACCAGGAAATTGTTTTCTCTCAGCCTGACCTGAGAGAAAAGCTTGAGTTTTCTAAAGCTCAAGTTAGTGCCACAACTCGAGTTCAGGAATCTGTCCAAGGTATCTTACAGGGAGGAATGCCAGATGTGGAGAGAAGTTCTTGGTTTTCTTTCAACCCAAGTAAGGTTTCTTGTTCTAAACAGTTGCAAAGCTAAGTAGAGCACTTTTCCACGGAAAGGGGAGAATTAGGCTGTCTGTGACCTATCTTATATTGAAATGAATGGAAACAAATGCCCATGCTACTCTGCATTGTTTTAATTATCTTTGTAGTGGAGAGGGGATTGGGAAAAGAACAGAGATAGCAAAGGCCTGGGGCTGTGTTTTGCTTTTTAAATGGATACTAGGGAGAAAGTGGGCGAGAAAACATCTTGCAGGCACTCTCAAAGCGTGATGCGGTGCCAGCCACTTCGCCTTCTGTCTGGAGATAGAATAACTGTCACTCTTCTCACCACAGCTTCTTGCTCTAGGATTGGTTCCTGGTAGGCTTATCTGCTTCAGGGCAGCTTCCACGTCAGTGACACCGACCATGCCACAAAAGCAACTGGGAGGGAGGATGTCACAACTGCTAAAACTAGGAGTACAAAATTCTAGCCTCAGAGATGATTATTACATCTATCAGTCCTCTTGGCTCTCCAATCGACATCTTTGACTTTCAGAAAGCAAGAAGAGAGGCTGAAGTTTGATAAGACCTTTCATGTCGACCAAGGTGAATACCACCACCTAGCAGGTGTCTAAGGCCACAGCACGCACGTCTGTGTTTTGCTTCAGTACTTCTGGCCCATTGCAGGCCCTGGATAATTCTAATTGCTTTCATTTTGGACTGCTTTCATTATATGCAATGACACCATAAACATCTAAAATTTGAGGATCTATGTCACAATGCTGTTCTGTGGTTTATCTTTTTAAAAATAAGCTGAAAAGCCTCTGCTCTCTGGGATAGCAGTTCTCTAAATTTCATAGTTGCAAATATATAATTCTATTCCACTGTCAAATAGCCACCTTCTTTTCCAGAACAATGTTAAGATGATGAAACACCTTGCGACTAACACATGGCTAAAACGCTTTAGAACATGCTGTTTATGCAAAGGAAATCTTATAGCCAAGATGAGTTCAGCGTAGGATGCCTTCACCTCAAGCATGGTCACAGGCAACAAATCCACTGCTAGAAGAGTTCATAACTCCGGACTCCTCGGAAAGCAGTAAGATATGGTAATCTCAAATTTTTGGAAAAGAACAAGAATATATGACAACTGAGATTGTCTAATTCATAGATGAACAAGAGGTATCAAGTTTAGAAAACTGCAGTTCTTGTCTCAGTATTTTTTTACACGAAATCCTCTGGAATAATGCTCACTGACTACAGTGAGAGTTTAATTTAACAGTATATAATAATTGCCAATACTTGCCAGGCAACCATGGCTAAGATATTTGATTTCCTGCTTTTTCTGTTTCTCCTCTAATTTTCCTCCCAGTAAACTAAACATGAAGAAGTTAATCTGCCTCACGGGCTAAAGAACTGCCTTTTAATAAAAAGCACTTCTGGTGATTACCAGAAAGAAAAGCACCACGAATGCTGTATTTGGCACTCACTCCATGGCTACCTTAGCTCTCCATAAGCCATACAGAACTACAGCGCTGGCAGCAAGCTTTTTTCCCCTAGTCTTTGAGCCCCCACCAGAGGCTCTAGATAGGCTTTCCTATTATATATATGGTGAAAGGGAAAGCAACTGCTCAAAGTGAAAGAATAACTGGGATGAGGGAAAGGAGAAAAAATGGAAGGGAAAATATGCATAGATATTATAAATATATATATGTATATATATACATATATATATACAAGTTAGCTAAGATAATCGTACTATTAATTTCTATTGGTTTATTGAAAGGAACAGTTAATGCTTAATTTTCTGATCAATTTTACATGCCTATGTCTGGTAATTTAGATAGGTTTTTTTTTCTTTTTTTCTTTTCAGATAGCTTGGGTTCACCTGCCCTAATCTCTGGTGGATCAGTAAGGCACTGATGCACTTCTACAACAAGCCTTGGCTACAGGTGGACCTAAAAAGCATCACTACCCCAGGGAAGGTAGGGAAGGTGACCCACAGGAGAGAAGAGAAAGAGGTAAGATAGAGATCTCAAGGAAACCACTGGGTTCCAAGGCCTTAACTTCCTGGGTCATCTACTCAAAGCTGGGGCCACATGTCTGGAGCAAATTACTCCAATCATCAGTGCCTAGAAGTTGGTTAGTACTAAGTAGGTGAAATCACTGATTGACAGGAACACAAAGCAGGAGCATCAGAGCTGCTGTCCATCCAATACTGGAGACACTTGTTGGAAAGAAAGCTGGAGTTCACGGGCCCTACGGAGGAAGACGTAGCTTTAGAAGGTAAAGGTTGCAATGAGCTGCAAGCTTGGGATCATCTTGTGTGCAGTGTAAGAGTCGCGAATGGTGACAAGATCAGACCCAGAAGGGAGAGATGAACGCTCTGGCTTCTCGGAAGTATTCTGAATGTGGTATGTCCTGCCTAATCCCTGCCTTAACAAAAGAACCATGTTTGGAAGGAAAACGGAAGGGCATTGGGAAGAGGCCCTTCAATAAGGGGATGGCACATTCCACATGAAGGACAAGAGCTAAGCTGTGATCTTCTATAACCAGATCATAAGGGCAGGAGTGGGCTGAGGAGAGAGGGACAAAAAGATTTCAAACTCCAGAGAGTTACACACTTCTACAAAATTACCTAATACTTATAGAGACATTTGCAATTCACAAAACATGACATTCACTAGCTCACCCCCAAAAACAATGGTTTCATTTTTTTTCCATCTTACATAGAAGGAAACTGAGGCTAGGTAGGCAGATTGTGACTTGCTCAAGGTCACGCCGCTACAATCTGCTCCAGGACGTCTCACAATGCCCCCTTACCCATTCAGTGGTCGTCCACATTAAAGGGCTTTACATCAGTTCCTGAGGGACACTACTGACGTAGCTGCAACCCCCTCCTCCCCATCAGGGCGGAGCATTGCCCTCGCTGCCAGGGAGGGGGGACCTGAGTGACGCGCAGCCACAGACGGGGTTTCCCCATCCTGCGGGACTTGCGCGAGCAGGGAGCCGAACCCACGGCTTTAGCACACCCGACAGTCAGTGGACATGGCCTCACCAGCAGTTTCTGTCTAAAGATTTAAGAATAGAGGGGCTGCGCTGGGCGAATTGCCTTCCCAGAGTTCCCAGGACTGGGACCCTGCCTGCGCCCGCTTCTCCACCTGGCTCCCTAGCTGGCTCCTGCCCTGCGGGGTCGCCTCGGAGGAGCAAAGAGAGTGGGCTGAAGCGTGCAGGTGACAAAGGGCCAACTATGAGGCACCTCTGGTATTCTGGTTCAAGGCAACCAAAAGCCAACCCCAGCCTGAAGTTTGGACATCAAAGGTTTCAGACCAAGTAGCAAGTTGGCAGGAAAGCGGGAGGTCCGGGCTGGGGGGTGGGAGGGCAGGACAGGGGTGACGAAGAAGAAGGCGGCTAAGGCAAGCGAAGTGCCCCCTTCATGCAGCCCCTCGCTGCTCGGCAGTGGGTGCCCGGTCCTCCTCTGCACCCGAGGGCGGAGAACGCGCTGGACTCGGCCTCGGCGCAGCCCCTCTTCGCCGGCCCCACGCTCCTCCCCAGTGTCAGCCACCGCGCCCCGCCGCGGAGACTCACCGTCCGCAGGAACTGGATCTCGTCCTCGCCGCCTTCTCCGCCCTCGGCCATGGCTCGCGGGGCGGAGGCGGTGTCCCAGCCTCCGGCTATCTGCTTCCCCGGCGGCCGCGCGGCTGGCGCTGACTGCTGCTGCGCTCTTTGTCCGCCGCCTCCTCCGTCTCTTCCTCCCCCTCCGGCTCCTGGCTCGGTCTCAGGAGCGCCGAGCTAATCCCAGACCGTGTAGGGAGCTGGACTAACACCCCTCCGCACTGCAGAGCGCCACCGCTCGCCGCGCAGCCCGCCCACCCCTCTCACCTCTCGCCCCAGCCAAGTGCGCGGCTGCCGCGGAGAGCGCAGCGCCGGGGCGCCGGCGGGCGTGGGGAGCGCACTGGGGACCGGCCGGCGCCTGGGGCGGTCCGGCTCAGCACCGCACCGCACCGCACCGCACTCTAAGCGGAGGCGCGCGCCCTGCGGCGACGCGAGGATGTCCCCTATTGTCCCCTACACTGCTCTGATTCTGAAACAAAAGCCAGTTGCTTATTTCCTGTGCGCCTAGAAGAAGCACCAACACTCGCTTCGCCCACTTTGCGTGTGTGTGTGTGTGTGTGTGTGTGTGTGTGTGTGTG